GGTCTCAGACTGACCCTGCAGGGTGTCTTTGGCCCGCTGCAGCGTGCAGAGGCGCGTGCAGAGGCGCGTGTTCTGCTGACATCTGTCCACCTCTGCCTGGGACAGCTGCTGCTGCTGCTGATGGAGCTGCAGGTGGAGCTTCACCGACAGAGACCTGAGGAGGAGCACAGAGGAGCTGTGGTCAGACACACCTGCTGCTTCTCTGTGGTAATCAGGAGCGCTCCGTACCTGAGCTCCTGTAGCTCCTCCTCCAGCTCCTCCTTGTGTCTCCTCAGCCCTTCCTGTTCTTGCTGCAGCCTCCTGCTCTCCCTCTGCTGCTCCTCCTGATGTCTCTCCTTCTCTTTCAGCTCCTCCTGTGCCCTCTGCAGCTGTTCCTGCGCCTCCTTCAGCTCCTCCCTCAGCAGGGTGTGTTGGGAGGAGCTCTAGACGGAGCAGAGAAGGTTTCAGACATGATGCAGGTCATCATGGGTCCATCAGAGCGGTCTGCTGTCTACCTCGTCCATCTGCTGGGCTGCCGTCTGCCTCTCCTCCTCCAGGGACTCCACCTGGGCCTCCTTCTCCACCAGGGTTCTCTCCAGCTCTGCCTGCTGCTCCTTCAGCTGATGGATGGTGTCTGCGTCTGTCTGTGACTGAGTTCTGGAGGACATTGGATCAGTGGGACTCGTTTCAGTCCAGCTGAGGCTCAGATCTTCTCCTCAGAACCACCTGATGAAGATCTCATCCTGGAAACTAACCTCAGCAGGTTCAGCTCACTCCTCACGCCCTGAAGCTCCCTCTGCAGGACGCTCACCTCTGACCTCACCGTCTGCATTTGTGATTGGCTGTTGGATAGCTCCGCCTCCAGCTGAAACAAACACAGGCCTTTTCTCAATATGCGTACTTGTGCATTCTCGCGTTAAACGTCATCAGCACTGGTACTGTTCCAATTCACAAGAACAAGAAGACCGAGAGCGGACAAAGTCCCCACATGTTGTTCTGGCCCCTCCCTCTTTACCCTTTAATCCACCTGCAGCAGCCAGGGCTAACGTTAGCCCGTCTGCAGCAGCCAGGGCTAACGTTAGCCCGTCTGCAGCAGCCAGGGCTAACGTGAGTTGAAGAACTTAGTGACATCATCAGTCCGTGCTCATGTTCTTGTGAATTGAGAATCAGTCAGAGATGAGGCGGAGCAACAGCAGGGTGCCCTGAGACAGGCAGGGAGTTTTACCTGCAGCAGCTGTTTGTTCAGATCTCGTTTGTCTGAAACCAGAGCGGCGTTCAGAGCCGACATTTTCTCCAGGGCGTCCCGCGCCTCCTCTGCCTCCCACCTCAACATCGTCTCTGAGGAGGAGAGATGCAGCAGGCTGTCCCTGCACTGAGGGACACCAGGGGGACAGAGAGGGACACCACTGTAAGGTTAGAACAAACACCTCTGAATCCTCTGACCTCCAGAAGCATCCCAACCTTCTGCAGAGCCTCTCTGACATCAGCACCTTCTTCTTCTGCTCTCTGCCTGTCCAGCTGCTCCCTCTCCAGCGCCCCCTGCAGTCAGACAGCTAGTGGAAATCAGCCGTTCCTCCTGTGATCATCATGGATGGAAGCAGGTTTTACCTTCAGGCTGTGGATCTCCATCAACTGTTTGCTTTCTCTCTCTGACAGCTGGACTTTCTCCAGGAGCTCCTCCTCCACCCTGAAACAAGCACATCAGCCTCACAGCAGACGCCATTGGTCACAGAAACGCTCAGCGGCAGCGTCTCATTCTATCATGGTTTCTACCATTAGCCCAGCTCTCTATTATTATGCTAACATTAGCCCTCCTTGCTATCACCATGCTAACATTAGCCTACCTCGCTATCACCATGCTAACATTAGCCTACCTTGCTATCACCATGCTAACATTAGCCTACCTTGCTATCACCATGCTAACATTAGCCCTCCTTGCTATCACCATGCTAA